TGAAGTGACCGATCCTTTTGTTTTGCTTACATTTGATCTATAATAGTCAATAATGTGTTTGTTATAACATAATTATTAGTACATATTATTAGGATGTGTGCATCAGGCTATAGATCAAGATTATGGAATAGGAAAATTGTGCTGCAAAATTTGTTTGGGTATTTGGATGATGTGGGGTAATTAAACTAACTTTTGTCCATGTATTCTAACACTGTCTTTCCATTAGGAGGAAACAGGGATGTACTGGTTAGTCCTGGCTCATGTTTCTTCCTGTCAAACAGCTGTGGTCAGGGGGAGGAATGGCTGAAGAGCCTAAATAAGGGCATCTGGATTCCTTTCACAGGTATGTACACACACACACACACACACACACACTGTAGTTTAGGACCTGAAAATCTGACTAATTTTGTGTATACACTCTGTGATCTCTGGAAAATCCAGGCCTGTGCAAGTCATTCTTATGATAAAACACTTAATAGTTTAACATTCACTGTGACTTGACTGTCTGAATAGAATGAAACAGCAGATCCAATCAGTCTTTAGGGCTCCAGCCATAGACATAACAACCCATTCACGCAATACACACGCATTCCAGTCATTTCCAAATCATGGGCCATGCATTACACATCTAATGACTGATCTCCTCACAGACTGCGCTATGTCTACCCCGTCGCAAATCTCAAAATGACAAATAACACATGCTGATTGAGCTGATGTCATTGAAAACAGCAAACATTGAGAATGTTCCTCATGATTTTTGCTAAAAACATTGCAAACAAAGTTGACAAGTGTTTTTCGGCCAGTGTCATTTAGAGCTCAAGCAACGTCTCATAAATGTTTCTCAGTGGTTCAGTCTTTTCCTCCTCTATTACTTGCAGCATATGTTGGAGTGAGAGCGTGAGGGGTTGTGGGAAGCAGCTGTGTGGCCATCTTGGCAGTGTGCCTGGGAATAATGATGTTACAGTACACCTTGCTTTTCTCATGAGAACCATCACATCCATACAATCCCATACAATGAAGTAGCTTTGTGAGTGCAAGACACCACAACAATCGTACAAATATATCTATTTTCATAAAGTAAAAATGTATGCATTAAAGCAGGATAAAAATATTGATTATCAATCACGATACTGATTCTAAAAATCACAATCACAATGTTTTACTCTATGGACCCTTTTCACATTTCCAGGGTTCTCAGTGGAAGTCATAGTTGGGTAAACTTTTATATTGGTTAACGGAAACTACAACAAATACAACTTTTGTGTTCCCATTTGCCCAAATAGCAAAAGGAAAAAAAATCATGATGTTTCTGAAAAAAAAAAAGAAACAAAAAAAGGGGAAAAATGGCTAGATTTATGATGTTAAACGCATGATCACAATCTGTCAAAGGGTCTATTCCAGTAGCAGCACACTCCTTCTGCTAAATCTACAGCCCCATGGCAAAAGAAGTCATATTTTATCTGAGTTTGAGTAAATGTGATAATATAAACTGGTTACATGCAATAACACAGCGCGCAACCAGTCCGATTCACAAACAAATGACTCTTATGAACTGGTTATTTTTAGTGAATCAAAACAGCTCAGTGCAAACAGTATAATCCCATTAACGAACAAACAGCTAGTATGGGCTGACCTTTTTAATCATTCAAAAAGACTTTTCAGTTTAGTGTCGAATGAATTGTCAATTTTAATTTTACTTCAGCTGGTATACACAGAGCAGTGTTGATTGTGTTGATTGCATCTGTAAGAAATTTAACAGATATAATCCTTGCTTTTTGAAAAACATGATGTAGGATTATGATAAAAGCTTTGACTATATCTGTTAAACAGTAATTGAATTACATAGTTTGGGCTCTGTTGTTAGTTTTTAAAATTAGTATTTTTTATGTACCAAGTTAGAAGGTTCATTGTATAATTTATAGCATTAATATAGAGAGAATTTCTCACATATGCAAGCAAATTAATATTATAACTGAAATATGCCCAAATGAATCAGAATTTAAGTATTCATCAATATAATGCATTAAACGACAATGCTTTTATCTAACATAACCCAAACACCCAGTAGATGTTATTTTACAAACACAGTCTGTAAAGTCTTGAGTCCCAATATGAAAGTCTATCCCTGTACATGCAAATCTGAGCTGAAGGCGAAACTTGAGCTGCAGAGTCCATTTTGCTGCTTATTTCCCATGCAGGAGAGATTAACATTCCCAATGAATTCCCTACATTACCTCTCCAACATAACTCTACACAGCTCTGGGGCTCCTGAAAGGTGAGAGATGCCCCTACAGATAACACAGCCACATTCACATGCACTGCACACACACTGGACCAGTGTTTAAGGATCTGTTTTAGACTGGGATTCTCATCAGGGGCCAAGTTACTGGGCACAAATGTATAAAAAGCGTTTGAGGGGTGTGTTCAGCTGTGTCCAATGGAAAATTCTTGGATGCAAGCCATGTGAGGTACACGGGGACAGAGAGAAAGAAAGGGAGATATAGCAGAAGGTAACTAGCAGAAAGTTCTAGCTCATTTATTTTTAGTCAATCTGTGTTTTGTGGGGTTAATGATTCATGGTGAGGGGATAGAAATAGGGAAAACAGAAGGTGTTGGCGCCACCTTGGCCACACTCCAGTAACCCTGCAGTGGAGTGGTTTGATACAGGCAAGAGGTTGGAAAAAAGCAGACAGAAAACAGACAAAGAAAGAGTACAGGAGAAATACAATTCACAATCAACAGCAGTGAATGAGACAGAAAGTATAACAGTATTTGAAATTCAGTTAGGGAGGCGGACTTAATTTGACAGTAAACCGAGGAGGTGCTGACTCACGTCTTTGGAGACTTTGGACAATTAAGTCCAGACAAACATAACCTCCCCTCAGAGGCGAAAACAGACATGTCTCTGTTGATGTCACCATCAACAATGGCATAGGACTGAGACGTCCACTTCAAGAGGCGGTGTCACAGAGAACATCTACTTTGAACCAGACTTCTTCCCATTTACTTGAAAAGCACTTTATCAGTGAACTCCCGCAGGAAGAGCCCAGGAACGGTAGAGGTCGAGTGCTGGATGGACAACACTGTGGAAGAAGTGCTTCCATAACTCTTCTTTGGGACGCATGTTGAATTGCAACAAATGTAATCTGCTGTCTCTTTTTACCAGGACTAAGGGCACCAAATTTATTAACAAATACTTTGTTTTTCGATAAATTGTTAACTTTGCTAAGCTTCTGCCCTTCAACTTTTGGACTCTTAGAATTGAAACTGAAGGAACATTTTTTATAGAAATGTGCTTAAAATAAGAGGTGTGCACTTGAACAATGCCTCCTCTTTCAGAATGAGGACTGTCATCTGATTTGGAATGCTGATATATCTGATAAGCACGCATATCTGAGCTGGAGGGTCAGTGTTGCACATCAGCAGGAGAGAGAGAGAGAGCTTCTCTTCGGTGCATTAAGCCTCATCAACTTACCTGCAGACAGGAGGGCGAGAGAGAGGGAGGAGGAAGAGCAAAGGAAAAAGGAACATCCAGTTCTAGACGAAACAAGTTTGCAAAACATGAGCAAAAGGGATTAAGGTTCAGTGAGGACATTGGTTCGGTGCCAGTTTCAGGATAGCTACAAAGACTGAAAACATCCCAGGGTGAGGTCGGGATAGCGGATGTGTGTGTGTCCTAAAAAAAGAAGACAGAGCCATAAAGACATAATTGAAGAGTCAGACAAGAAAAGATGCCTGAAAACAAGCAGACAATCCAGCGGACTGGAAGCTATCTGTCTCACTCTGCTTACAGGAAGATAAAAAGGGTGCTGAGCTTCAGAAGACGTGAGTATTAAATATTAGGCAGGAAGAGCGCACACCATCACACACAGAGGTAGAGTGCAGTGCAGCTGCAGCGTGCATTAATCTTAAAGCTGCTTTTTAGCAGAACATTATTATTGTTTTATGCATCTGTCCTATTTCTGCGGACTCAACAGGATCTTCATTTTATGCTTTTGAGGATAACTGCATTTATAGCAAGTGCTCTCACTATTTCAGCACATCTCAGTTAACAAAATTAGGTAACTAAGGAGCTAAACGGGGTCTGACACTGACAGCTCTCTATACCTGTATCACAGGTGTATTTGGTCAAAGGTTGGAGGAGACAGTCCTGTATGAGAGGAGGTATGGGGATCACATGGCTCCTTTGGCGGTGGAGCAGTGTGTTGATTTCATCCGAGAGCACGGGCTCACTGAGGTGGGACTCTTCAGGCAGCCTGGCCAGGCCACACTGGTTAAAGAGCTACAGGAAGCTTTTGATGCTGGGGAGAAACCATCTTTTGACAAGTAAGAGATTGACGTTAATAGAAATGAGGTACAGCAGGGCAGTCGAAATCAGCATAATGTACATATTTGCAATTATTTGTCTTCAACAGGCATAATTGCATAACATAAGGTAACCCAGTGATTTGAAAACTATACATGCTATCTAAGATTACCGTTCAGAATTCATCATACAGAATTTACTTGAAAATGTTTTCAAAATTCCAATTCAGTTTCTGAATTTTTACTGAGGTAGCAAACGTAATACAGGATTCAGAATTTGAATTTAAGTAAGTATAAAAAATTCATATAACCGCAATAAGTAGGAAATAACTAGGAAATTTCATACATGGTCAATTCAATTCAACACAAATTGAAAGGGAGCTGAATTTTCAAATCTAAAGTTTGCCCAACGGTGCTATATACTATATATATTATTAGACACAGGAAGGAGGGCTGATTTAGCTGGAGCTCTGGCTAATTTATTCTCATAGGATTTTATAAATGTGTGTGAGAGAGATATATATATATAT